GCCACCGACCCCCTCGGAAAACGAAAAGAAAACGCATAATTTATTCGTTGCATTAAAGGTACGGTCGCTTTATAGAGGGCGTATCTAGAGGAGAGAGGGGAGGGAGGGGGAGAGGAGAGGGGGAGGGAGGGGAGGGAAGGGAGGGAGGGGAGGGAGAGGATGAGAGAGAGGGGGAGAGGATGGGGAGGGAGAGGGAGGGAGGGGGAGGAGTTTAAGATAAGATTTAAAGAGGGAGATGGGGGGGAGGAAGAGGGAAAGAGGGGGAGGGGAGGGGGGAGGAGAGGAAGGAGGGGAGGAGGAGGGGAAAAGGAGGAGAGAAGGGGTAGAGGAGGGAAGGGGGAAGAGAAGATGGGGAGAGGAGTGGAAGGGGGAGGAGAAGGAGGGGAGAAGGAGAGGAAAGGGGGAGGGAGAGGGAGGAGGGGAGGGAGAGGAATGGGGAAGAGAGGGAGGGGAGAGGGAGAGATGAGGGAGATTGAAAGGGGGGGGGACGAAGGAGGGAGGGGAGGAAGGGAGAGGAAGGAGGAGTAAGGAAGCAGAAATGAGGTGGAGAGAGAGAGAGATAAGGGAGGCAGGAAGCTGGAGAATAGGGACGAGGGAGAGAGAGTGGGGAAATAGGGAGAGATAGAAGAATAGAGGGAGTGAAAGAAGAATAGACTAGGGGAGAAATGAAAGAAAAGAGATGCAGAGATGAAATATAACAAGGTTAGGGCCTCGAAGAGGGGAAGAGAAGGGAAGAGTGAGGGGAAGGAAAGAATATTGGACATGGGAGGATGAGGAGAGCCAAAGGGCATAAGAGAGGTAGATAGAGAGATAGAGGGAGAGAGAGAGGAAGAGAAGAGAGAGAGAGAGAGAGAGAGAGAGAGAGAGAGAGAGAGAGAGAGAGGAGAGAGAGAGAGAAGAGAGAGAGAGAGAGAGAGAGAGGGATAGATAGAGAGTAGATAGGAGAGAGAGAGGGAGAGAGGAGGAGAGAGGAGAGAGAGAGAGAGAGGAGAGAGAGAGAGAAGAGAGAGAGAGAGAAGAAAGGAAAGAGGAGAAGAACGGAGAAAGAGAGAGGAATGGAGAGAGAGAAGAGAGAGAGAGAGAGAGAGAGAGAGGAGAGAGAGGAGAGGAGAGAGAGAGAGAGAGAGAGAGAGAGAGAGAGAGAGAGAGAGAGAGAGAGAGAGAGAGAGAGAGAGGAGAGAGAGAGAGAGAGAGAGAGAGAGAGAGAGAGAGGAGAGAGAGAGAGAGAGAGAGAGAGAGAGAGAGAGAGAAGAGAGAGAGAGAGAGAGAGAGAGAGAGAAGAGGAGAGAGAGAGAGAGAGAGAGAGAGAGAGAGAGAAGTAAGAGAGAGAGAGAGAGAAGAGAGAGAGAGAAGAGAGAGGAGAGAGAGAGAGAGAAGAGGAGAGAGAGAAGAGAGAGGAGAGAAGAGTAAGAGGGAGAGAGAGAGAGAGAGAGAGAGAGAGAGAGAGAGAGAGAGAGAGAGAGAAGAGAGAGAAGAGAGAGAGAGAGAGAGAGAGAGAGAGAGAGAGAATGAGAGAGAGAGAGAGAAGAGAGAAGAAGAGGAGAGAGAGAGAGAGAGAGAGAGAGTTTAGAGAGAGGATGAGAGAGAGAGAAGAGTAGGAAAGAGAGAAGAGAGAGAGAAGAGAGAGAGAGAGAAGAAAAAAAAAAAAAAAAGTTAAAACAAATGTAAAAAAAACAAAAACAAAAAAAGAAAAAAATAAAGTAAAAATAACCACCATAAGAAAAAAAGAAAAATAAGAACAATAAAAAAACAGAAGAGAAATACCAAAATATTATAGAGAAATTTGATCAAGTGCTTACGAGAGACGTAAACATCTGAAACAGGCAAGGCAATTCCTTATCAGAATATGAGAGGCCAGAAATAAGAAGAGATATGTTGCTAAAGCGAGGCGGTGAAGCATTGCTCGACTATAGTCGTGGATAAACGTACTGGGAGAACGGAATAATTGGTGGATGATTTCTGAGTGGGAGAGAGAGAGTCGGAGAAAGGAGAGAGAGACACATAACAGAAGAGAGGGAGGAAGAGGGAGGGTAGAAGAAAGCTAGAGAGAGACACAGGAAAGGAATGAACAAGAATCATGAGTGAAGGAGGGGGAGAGAAGGAAGGTAGAAGAAGCAGAGAGAGACAAACATATAACAGAAGGGAGGGGAGGAGAAGAGGGTAGGTAGAAGGATAGCAGAGAGGACACAGCTAGATGGAGGGGAAGGAATGAGAGGGAGGTAGAAGAGCAGAGAGAGCACACAGAGGAGGGAAGAGACAAAGGGGAGGGTTAGAAGAAAAGCAAGGAGAGACAACACAGAAAAAGCGGCAAGAGGAAGAGGGAGGTTAGGACGGAGAAGGCAGAGAGAAGAACAACATACAATAATGAACCTAGAAGGAGGGAGGAAGAGGGAGGTAGAGAAGCAGAGAGAGAACACAGTACAGAAAGGAGGGAGGAAGAGGGAGGTAGAATGAGGGCAGGAAGAGACACAAGAGGAGGGAGGAAGAGGGAAGGTAAAGA